TATGCTAAGCATTATAAACAGAATCTGATGTACTTACGAAGAAATGACACAAGAAAGGCACCAACTGCCAAGTATACGAACTTCAGAGACACCTAAGCACAAGAGTCATCATTATGAGATGAAAGTAGTTAAAGCTTCTGAGTCTAAAAGTTCATTTCAAATATACAGATCCCATCAATGTAACTAACTCTTTTGGCTATGTCACGAAGATTAATAATGAATGAAAAGGGTTACTCAAGAAGTTGTACCTTGGAAACTTCATGGACAACTTCTTTGGTGTCTGCGGATCTTCCAAAAGCATCAATTATATCTCCAATAAAAACAGTCATTAAGGGCATGGATATTCCATTTACAACAGCACCAACTGTCCCCACAAGCATCAACAGATAATCCAAAGAATCTGCAAATGAGAAGAGCTTGTAAAAGGTTACAGTGTTGGTGGTTTCATCTTTTTCCTTAATCTTCTTTGAATCCTGATGCTTGTCTGAGACTCCCTGAGCTTCTTCAGGACTTCCACCTACAGGATTATTTGCTGAACCTGTCTCTCTTGTCATTTTCCCACAGAAAGCCTTCAGTGGCTTCAAAAGCCTCCACTTACGCTAATAAACTGAAAGCAGCTGCAGGAAAAAGAATTGTTGGTTAAAGTCAGCAACAAACATTGTAGGAAAAACTTGATTATGGAATTTTCAGTTTATTTTGGGATTCACATTAGACTTGCGAAGATGATGAAGGTTCCGAAGTTCAGTCTTGCTGTAAAACAGTGTAGAAAATTTGAAAACTTCTCTGTATAGCCATCTAACCTTTAGGGTGAAAGTGACATGAGGGCAGTTGTAACCAGATAAAAAGAAAAAGAGCAACAGTTCAGATCATACTTTCAAATTCAACTGAATTGTCAAAAAACATCCATAACCAAAAGTTGAAATGAACCTTTTACAAACTTGAGGAAGATGAAGCAACTTGCAGATCTACAGAGAAACAAAATAAAGAACCCACCTAGGCTTACATGACTTGAGGTAAAGAACATGACAGGATTAGATGCTTAAGAAAGAATAATATATCATTACTTAGATGCTCAATAAACTGAGTTAGTAAACTTCATTACGTTTATGCCCAGACTAAAACCCAATATATAATTGCTGCTTACTATGCTTGGCTTCTAGATGCCCACTTTTTGGTGGAAATTCTGTCCGTTGTTTCATGAATCTGAACATAAATTTAATCTATGTTTTCGTACTCTCTGTCACAGGATATGTTATTCTCTTTACATGAAATTCTTTTGAATGAATCTGGGATCTGCATGATGTTTTCTGATCGTTAATCTTTAGTAGTTCTTTTTCCCCTCTAGCATAACCAGTTAATAAAGAGAAGAGACAAAACTTCCCTGTCACGTCCTCATAAAGCATTTAGATTTTAAAATCCTTCTGATCTGTGTGAACTAATATGATATTTTCTTTGAGCAATTTAATATATTTTTCAACGGGTACAATGGCATCTTCAAAGAGGATAGACACTGGAAATTCTACAAGTGTAACTACAGAACCATACGCAACAAGACAAAAGAGCATTTTATTATTAGTTTGTTGGCATATGAAGTAGTTATGCGCAATCAATGACCAAAGCAAACTCATGGATATTCCCATATTGAAGCCAATTATTCCTAACAGATAATCTATATAATTTTTTTGAAAATACTAGGGTCATTGTTGTTCTTGAGCTTTATAGATGATTGGAGAGATGAAGTCCCTCAGATTGACCTGTTGTTCTTGAACCTATGTTGATAAGAAAATAGTCTCAATTACTCTCTCGTCGTGTTATCGTGATGGAAGGAGATTTTAAAGATCCTTGTTTGGTTTTGTTAAAGCGAAGGAGTTTTTTATGATCATTTATCTGGTTTAGGAGGAGAGAAGAGAAAAAGTTAATAATTAATAATTACTCCTCCGGTCCTAATTATAAGACCCAATTGACTTATTTGAGGAAATTAAGAAAGTAAGTTAAGTTGGTTATTTATAATAAATAAGTGTTGTCATTCCTAAAATATCCTTGCTAATTAAGTATATTGGCTAAAACTATCATTATTAGAAGGATTATCTTGAAAAAAAATGCATAAATATAAGAGACAAAATGGATTGGGTCTTATAATTAGGACCAAATAAAAAGTCAAATTGGGTCTTATAATAAGAACAGGAGGAGTATTAATTTATCACTATAACTTGTATATTAGTTTTTACTTTTGGGTTGAAGTGCAATTCTATAGTTTTTACTTTTGGGTTAAAGTGCAATTCTACAAACACAATCGCTGTCTAGGTAATATTTGGCTCAATGTTCCCCCCATGCTTTCAAAAACATGGCAATGTGTCACAGATCCTACAGTTTGAAAACGTTGACTGTTACAAGGTGAAAGTTGATCATGTATTGCTTGTGTGGCTAGCCACGTGGCATAAAATGTGTGAGGTGCTGTCCAAGTGGCCAGTAGCCTGATGGATATGTGGAGATAGATTAATTGTAAGGTGGTAGGAATTTGTTTTACCTTAAATCAAGGCATTTCGCTGAAGAATTACTCCCTCCGTTCCTTATTATAAGAGACACTTGATGCTTATGCCATGTTCCTATATATAAGAGACACTTACAAGTTGTCTCTACTTTTTTATGTTGATTTACTATTTTACCCATATTTATTATCTCCAACTCATACTCTCTCTCTCTCCCACTTCTCTTTCTTTGAATAATTTAATTGTTCTCTCTCATGCTCTCTCTCCTTATTAATGAGGGCATTTTTGGAAAAAAATTATACCTTTTATATATTAATTGTTCTTAACTAACTTTAACTGTTTTTTTGATCAACGTACTTCAGTTATTTGTCTCTTATAATAAGGATCGGAAGGAGTATGTAAAAAGTTACGATACCTGGAGATTAAACGGGGATTAAAAAGGAAGCACAGGTGGGGAAGCATCTTTTATGCACAAGTTTAGGTCCAGACAACGAGACCCCGCAGGCCTAGGCATTTTTTTAAAACCTATGGGCACTCATGAGATATTACTGAAAAAAAGTAAGGGCAAATTAGTCATAAAACTTGGAGGGAAGCAAAATAAAAGAATCAAAGAAAAGGAGGCGGGGAATATTACAAGTTTGCAACTTGATTCTATGTAATATTAGTGTTTCCATATTTAATACTCCTCCGGTCCTTATTATAAGACCCAATTTGACTTTTTATTTGGTCCTAATTATAAGACCCAATCCATTTTGTCTCGTATATTTATGCATTTTTTCCAAGATAATCCTTCTAATAATGATAGTTTTAGCCAATATACTTAATTAGCAAGGATATTTTAGGAATGACAACACTTATTTATTATAAATAACCAACTTAACTTACTTCCTTAATCTCCTCAAATAAGTCAATTGGGTCTTATAATTAGGACCGGAGGAGTAGTTAATACTATCTCCCATCCTTAATATAAAAACTACTTGACTAATTTGAATAGCTTCAAAAAATTAGTTAAGTTAGCTATTTATAATAAATAGGTGTTATTTTTCCTAAAATATCTTTATTAATCAATTGTATTGGTTAGAACTACCGTTATTACGATGACTACCTTAAAAAAAATAGACAAATAAAAGTCAAACAAATTCTCATGTTAAGGACCAGAGGTACTATAAGAGTCAAATAACTAATTTATGAGTATTAAAAAATTAATAAATTAGTTATTGGTGATAAATATATGTTATTTTTTATAAAATGCTAATCATGCGTATTATAATTATTATTTAATAAAACTTTTAATATATACCATAATATTAAAAACCGGATTGGAAACTAGCCAACTGATTACTTGGCCAATCCGGTTAGTGGCAAAAATTGGCAATAGAGTTGACCTAAAAGAGCGATTCGATGCAACCCAATCAACCCAGGAGAATCCCGATTATCCTGACCATCTATAGTGGGTTAACCCAGTTATGTTTTTATTTTTAAGTTTTAATACTAAAAAATTATTAGTAGATAGGAATATTTTGTTACCATAAATCTATTTTAATATTTTGTTAGGACGTATATTTGGTTATTTTAATAGTATAATGCTATGATATCAATTTGTCAAGAGAATTGTAGAAAAAAATTTAAGTGTACGATTATTTTATTAAATATTTAATATATTAAATTGATATTTAGTCCTTTGAATGTTACGATGAGAATTTAAATTAATTTTTAATTTTTTTATTTTTTATCGGTTTGATTCCGGTCTGATTTACTAACAATTAACCTATTGTTTTGACCAATTTGGTTTTGTGTATCTTGATATGTAATTATGTATAATAAAAAAAAGACAAGGTAAAATTACGTTTAATATTTAGCATCGCGTTCAATGTTTAATTAATTCTTATGTTCTCATGCTTAGTCCAAGATACAGCATGGGGCAATTGGACCAATTGTTTCTTCCTTGCATATATGATCGGAATATTGACAAAACTAAAGTCAAAAGTGATATTCTCTTTATTCCTTTGTTTGCACGCTTGCTTGCTCATGGTGGCACGGATTCTCTGCATCATCGCATTGGTGTTTTGGGCCCCTTCATCTTTCAGAAGGAAGATTACCAGTTTGCCCTTTGATGATCCTTACCACAAATGATTCGATCTATTTGAAGGAAGAAAAAAAATTCAAACACATGTAATTGGAAACTTTTTTAGGGGGTTAAAAGTTAAAACTAGTCTCAATTTTTTTCGTAGTTACATGAAAATCGGAAAAAATAAATAAATAAACAACCTTATCAATAATCAATCAATCAATATTAAAATAGCAAACTGCGGATAAGGCCTTAGCCCAAAAGAGTTCGAATAATGCTGTTGGGTTGGGTAAGTGGGCTTCTGCTGAAAATCCTGTTTCGACGTGCCCACGATTCCTAGGGCGGGAAGAAAGATAGAAGAAAATGCCAACCGTTGTTCCGGTTTCCCACTTCCAAGGCTGTCCTCCCTGTCAGCCCCCCCAAAAAAAAAAAACAAAGTTTGTCCTCCCTCAGTTTGACGTTGGTCTAGCCTATTACAAGGATCCCATTTCTGGCAATCTCTTTGGACGTCGACGCCATTGAGCAAAGGCAATTGAAAGGGTAAAACGGTAGAAATGATATACTGTATAATACAAAAACTCTTTTTCAAGAATTATGTTCTCTGAATAATTTTCCTAAAGATTGCTTAAATATCAGGTTCTGACCGTGTAATTGTTTGTGGTACGAAGAAAGGGCGAATTCAAACAAAACCAATCAATGATAGACAGACAAGTGCCGATTACGGAAAGACGGAATGGATGATCAAGAATCAGGAGGACTGGAGAGTTGCCTGGAGAAATTTTGCTTTCTTTTCTGGTTCTCTTTTTCTAACCATGCGCTTCAAAAAGGAAAAACAAAAACAAAAACAAAAAACAAAAAAGATGAAGAATCAATTCTAGTAGCAGAGAAGTCTACCAGAAAACAAAATTCTAGTTTGGGAGGATGAAGACATCCGTGAAGTTAATCCCCCTACGTATATTATACCGAAGTACCTGTACATTGATGCCCCAGGTTTTACCACGTTATGTAAGATCCTTCGTCAAAGATTAACAAGGGAAAAAGCTCGGCTTTGAGGCTTTTATTGTCCAAGATTGTTGACCCAAATCATAAATCAACCCAGATTAGAAGATATTAATCCTGTGCTAGCGTCAGCACCCGAAAATGTCAGTGCAATAGCTTAGATTTTCTATCCACATGTCAAAAGTCTACTTCACTGTCAAGTCTTCCCTACAAAGATTCGTTTTCGAGCGATTTATTTTCAATCTACCGTAACTGTATCCCGCACCGGCAGTATCATCCCCTAGCACCACTGGCCGCAGATATGTACGCGGCGGAGGTTTTAGGCTGTTTCTTCGCTAGCAGAGAGACCTCTTCAGCAATGGCAACTCCTATCTGTATCACAAAGGCCGCTTCGATCGGACCTAGTTTTATTTTCAGTACTCCTATGAAACCTGGTAGAACTTTCTCCTGTTGCCGCTGCAGTTTGGACTCCAAGTCAGTTGGCGGTGATGTTTTCTCGGTGACGCCGTCTCACAAGTACGACGTGGACTATCTTGGACAGAGCACTAAAGGGGATTTGAACGTCAAGTTCGAGCATCTTGAGGCTTTTGGTACGATCCCCAACTTTACCTTCCCCTGTTCATCTCCCGCCCTTTTGCAGTTCAATTTCATATTCTCATTTGTCATTTTCGCTCTTTTACCTTTTATAAACTTCTGGGCGTGCTGTTCTTTGAAAAGTTTGGTTGAAGGGTGTTTCTGAAACTGCCATCCTCTTTCATATTCGGTTGCAAGTAGCTTCTTTTTGAGATTCCACTCGTATTATGCTGTAGTGGTGTAGAGGGAGTGTGTGTGTGTGTAACGTTCTCCCTCAGTTCTCGCGGATTCAATTTATAATTACGCTGTAGTGTGATGGACATATTTTATCCCTTCTCCTGCAAATATATAATTACGCGTTTTACCTTCTTAAAACGGTCAAGCTATTTCTCCTTATTTCTTGAATACTTAATGCCATTGGTACCAGTCAGGAAGAGCATGAATTTGTTGAATCTGTTTGCAACACTAATTGATTATTTGGCGGGGACCTAAACTATTGGTAAGTTTCTCATGTAGGAATTGATGGCCATGCCGCATTGGAAGGTCCAATTGAGGAAGTTGCCCGAACAGAGGCTAATGAAGCCGAAGGATTGCTGAGAAACTTGGGTATTCCGGTGTGGCAAGCATGCTTTATTTCCTTACTTGCTTCTTTTCTATTTATGTTATTTGGGCTTGATATTATCTGTCGTCTGCTTCTCTGTTATCTACGCCATTAATTAATGACTGCGTCATGAATATGTTTGTTAATTTCTCACTATTTGCTTATCTGCATTGTTATCAGCGTTGTTATCAGCATCTTTCTTCCCACCTCCCAAACAAAGCTTAAGATTACATGAACATGCGCATGAATGCGTGTAAAAATGAGAGGGGAGAATGTTAAAGTGAAATTCATGTTTTTACTAACATTTACATATTTTTCATTAAATTTTATAATGGATGAATACTATATTTTTTGTCATGGCAATGTCGACATTGTTTGTGAGCACACCATATCAATATAAGTCTTCCTCGCAGACACATAATTATGTGAGATATGAACTTTACTTTATAAAGCTGAATTAGGGAGAATGCACTCAAGAGTTGAGTTTTTCTGATTTTCTTATTGATTAATATGTACTATGATGCCTTATTCTAGTTATTTGTACCTTTCCCCATTGATTAATATGTACTATGATGCCTTATTCTGGTTATTTGTACCTTTCCCTGATACTAACCATTTCCTTCATCCAGTCATTTTCTGGAACTGCTAGGCTGCTTTCCTCCATTTCTTTTCTTGATCTCTTTTTCTTTCTTTCGCTTTGGCTTTCCACGGAGTAGATATGTTTCTCTTGACTAAGTGAATATCAATAACAAGGTCTCATGTCCTTCTGCAGAGCCCTTCATCATCTAGAAATTCACCTCGTGGAATATTTTGTAGCCGCACCTTGAATCTGCGGTCAATTAGTGCAATTGGATATGATATGGACTACACCTTGATGCATTATAATGTCATGGTAAATATAAAGCTCAGTTTTGAATTAGTAAATAGCTCGCGTAAAATATTGAAATCTTAACTGCTGGGCTGTAAATATGTTTCCTTTGTATATTCTACATATTTATAAACAAATAACTTTAAGATCTTTGAAAGTGTGGTGTGCTGATGCTGATGAACCATTAAATCTTGTTTACATTTACATATCTTCGATTTTACTTTTACAATTTGATTTGATTTTACAAGTTATGAAGCATCGCCAAAGGTTTGTAGTTCTTTAGCCCCTACCCCGCTGAAAGTATTTATTCCTTTATATTTAGATTTTCAGCATTGGAGTTCAGATTGTAGAATAAGTTTTAAAGAGGATATTTTATTGTTTTCTGTTGCTGGGAACTGTTGGCTTTTCTCACTATTCAGGTCAGGGGAATTTTCTGATGTTGATATACTTTACAGGCTTGGGAAGGACGGGCTTATGACTACTGTCTGGAAAACCTTAAGAATATGGGTTTCCCTGTTGATGGACTTGCATTTGATCCAGAACTGGTAACATGTTATTCTTCACAAGCTTATGGTATTTGAGAAATTTTGCAATTTGATTGTATTAGTATTAGCTTGTCTTTCTAAGCGAGCCATGCGTAATGAATTGCTCAGGTGATTAGAGGTCTTGTCATAGATAAGGAGAATGGTAACCTGGTTAAGGCTGATCGATTTGGTTACGTTAAGAGAGCTATGCATGGGACCAGAATGTTATCTAATAGAGCCCTGAGGTATGCTTTGGGCTCTGTGATTTTGATTAATTAAAACCTTGTTAGAGTACTTGCCTACTTGTTATATCAACACGCTTTGAAGGTTGTTTTACATAATGCATTGTTCAGGTTTATGTATGTTGTTATGCACTAGCTATTCCTGAATAATGAATGTTAATACAACGTGGTGGTATGTTCAACTGCCTCAAGAATGTGCCAAGATATGGTTAATACTTTGTTTTATATTCTGAAATAAGACTAGATCTGTACATCCTTATACACCCAAACATGGATTTTTTGCATGGAGCTTCTTTGTGGCTAGATGTATATTTATGTTCTGATGACTTAATGAATACACTTCGTTTCAAATTGGAGTAATAACTTATGTATTGCTTCTTAATTTTATGTGCATGGAAGTGAAATGTATGGGAGGGAACTGGTGGACCTGAAGCAGAGCCGATGGGAGTTTCTCAATACATTTTTCTCTGTGTCTGAAGCTGTGGCCTACCTGCAGGTATCGAGAAACTACTATTGACAAAGACTGAACTTTGTGACAGCATATATTCTGCTGTGATGTTTGTTTTGCATTTGGCGTTAGATCTTAGCTTTCCCAGCATCTTTTGACTACAGCAATGTGAAATGAGTTGTATTGCTATCTTTACATTTGATCTGAGGATTGCTGGCCATGTTTTTTGAGCTCTGATGGGGTAAATTGGAAGTCATGAAAGCAACAAGTCTCCTAATTGATTTACTAGGTGTCATTTTGGTATAGTTTTCCCAGAGTTTTATTTTTGCGAAAGGTAAAGAGATTGGAGTATAAATGAATCTACCCTAGGCTGCATGCTTCTCGTTGGTTCTGCTTTGTTCTTAGCATTAGCATCTTTGTTTTCCACCCAACTTGTAAGGTTGTTTCCTTTTGATGATTTGGATTTGTCTCTAATTAGGATTAATCTTTATTGATAACATGCTCCTTTTCAGATGGTTGACAGATTGGATGATGGGGTTATTTCACCAGATCTTGGTCCACTTGATTACAAAGGTCTTTATAAGGTAATCAAAAGGTTGCTAATATTTTTCGAACAGTGTATTTGCTTATAGATGTTCTTTTCTTTAATATTGGCATGGCTTTCAGGCTGTTGGGAAAGCTCTGTTCAGGGCACATGTAGAAGGTCGTCTCAAGGTGAAGTTCATGTTTTCTGAATCTAGTTTAATTTTAAATGTTATAATGTATTGATGCCAACTGATTATGGATTTTTGTGTAGAGTGAAATTATGTCTAAGCCTGAACAGTTTGTGGAGCCTGATCCTGAATTACCTTTGGCACTTTTGGATCAGAAAGAGGTACGGCCTGTAATTTGTTTCTGAAATAGCAAGAGATATTCTTTGACTTCTTACTTAGGTATCTTCATGGAACAGGCTGGTAAAAAGCTTCTGCTCATAACGAACTCAGATTATCTTTATACGGACAAAATGATGAGGCATTCCTTTAATAGGTTCCTTCCCAATGATATGGGTTGGCGAGACCTATTTGACATTGTAAGTTCTACATTTATGCCTAGGGAGACTTAAATGAGATTTAACAAAAGTTGCCTTTTGTAATGGAGGGATGGAAATAGCCAAAAATTGTATGTGTTTTGCTGCCACCAGAAACCTCATGCATTTTACATTGATCTTGCATTACAAATGGGGTTTTATTTATAAATAGGTAATTGTCTCAGCAAGGAAACCAGAATTCTTTCAAATGTCACACCCTATGTATGAAGTGGTGACCGGCGAGGGTCTTATGCGGCCATGCTTTAAGGCAAAAACTGGTAATTATTATTCTGCTCCTTGATCTTAAAGGTCAAAGCTATCTATTTATTGTTTGACACGTTGTATAATGCACTTTCTTATAAACATTTGGGTATACTGCTAGATCCTTCCGTGTAGAAAAAAGGGGAGGGAGGGATGGGTCATAGATTGTAAACTTGTTTGCTGTCTTGTTATTCTGGAAATGACCAATTTAAAGAAGAAAATCACTTCATTTTATTCTTTTTAATGACCATCCTCTGCAGGGGGTTTATACTCAGGGGGCAGTGCACAGATGGTTGAGAATTCTTTAAATATCCATGGCGATGAGATATTGTATGTTGGTGACCATATTTACACAGATGTTAGTCAATCCAAAGTCCATTTACGTTGGAGAACAGCATTGATTTGTCGAGAATTGGAAGAAGAGGTTAGTGCAACCAGTCTTTGTTTGACACAATCTTTCTGATTTAGGCAAGCAAAACTGCGCCCTCTTAAGAGCATAGGTCCGTGTAGTTGGACTTGGGGGAAAAATGATGATTGTTTTGAAATTGATTTCCGAATCCATATGCATTTGTTGCATGATCTGTACTTGACATGGGAAATATTTACAAAATGAGTCCCTGATATGTCAGACTTCATTGTTGTGCCTTTACTGGTTTCCAACTATGAAATAACCTTGTTGCTTGTGCTTTACAAAAACGCTAAAACTGCAGTATGATGCACTGATTCAAAGCCAGAGTCATAGAACAAGGTTAGTGGAGCTTATAAATCAGAAGGAAACTGTAGGGGATCTCTTTAACCAACTTCGGCTTGCTCTGCAAAGGCGGAATTATTCACGGCCTGCTCAAGTAAGTTGGGTCTTATATGTATACTACCAACTCAGTTTTTTATTTTCTGTTTTTGAGAAAGTTAAAGCAGAGGGCTTTCAATAATTTTCCCTTGAATTTATGTTGGCATTTAGTGGTTAGTCTGTGGTGCTGCAATTATTCTGTTGCCTCATTCAGTTTCTTCAACACATTGAATTAAATCTAACGACTGAAATTGAACGATTCATTTGTCTTATATTTATGTATCAGTAGATATCCCTGTTGTGCTCTTACAGTGCTAGCAAACTTGATTGTTTGTTGGAATTCTTATTATCTCTCATCTCGAAAATGACTCAAAATATTGTGCGCATCATCTGATAGTTTAGTCTAATTGTAAGGTTATCAATTCAATCATTTAAACGTACCTACGTATGGTTTTTTCTTTTTAAAAAAAATGTTTCCAAAGTCTATTGCGTTAAAACCTTCTGGCCCAAGTCGGATGGCAATATAATTTTTTTTTTCCCTTTCTACTGTACTTGAAGACACTAGCTGCAACAAATTTGGATGATGAAGACCTCACTGAATGCATGCAAAAGTTACTTATTGTTATGCAAAGGCTGGATGATAAAATTGCTCCCATGCTGGAGGCAGATGGGGAGTTCTTCAGTAAAAGGTAAGCCCTAAATACCTAGTGATTGGTATAGAAATCTCTAGTGCCTTCAACTTGTATGCGAATTACTTAGTCCAGCCATTTGCCTGACTATGTAAACCAAATTTTGTATATAATTTGAACGATAACTGAGCTAAATCGACGCATCCACTGTTTGAGTGACCTCTTTTATTCTTATGAAACAACACGAAGGATCTTAATTCATGGCTCTGCCAAACACCCCCCCCCCCCCGGGGGGGGGCGCTGCTTCTGGTTATTACATTTGAAGTGGGTAATCCATAACAAATTTTGGCACTAACCTTCTGTATCGTGCATGTTGTTAGGTGGGGTTTCCTATCTCGCGCCGGTCTGTGGGATAAAAGCCATTTGATGAGACAGATTGAGAAGTATGTGCTTTCTTAAGATGCCCCTTAATCCCTTTTACATTCCTATGGACATGGCTTTAATAAAACTCAGCAATACTGCTTGCTTTTCTTGAGAAATGAGAGCTGTTTATTTGTTATAATCTCAGGTACGCTGATATATACACATCTAGGGTGTCAAACTTTCTAAATTATACACCCTTCATGTATTTCCGCTCTCAAGAACAGGTATTTTGGATCATCAACCTCGAGCAATCGAAAATTATAGCACATAAGATTATTTATCATCTGGGATTTGATCTGGTTTAATGTTCATGTTTCTTCTTCTTCTTCTGCAGAACCTTGCTCACGATTCCTACTCAAACTATTGCTCTCATTTTGATGAGCCATCTTCATGAGAGAGAGTGCAAGCAATGGGAAAGGTAAATAGAAGAAATAAAAGTCTGCTGCTGACAAAAGAAGCAGATGTTTATTGTAACCGTTTGATGATGATGATGATGATGATATCTTACACTTTTTGTTTATGAGAACTGATAATGATGTCATATCTACCAAGGACACCGACGTCACAAGAGTCCTTGCCTTGGATTAGCGGTGTCACAATCTGAAGCTTGAAGAAAAAGAAAACAATGAAACAGCCATAAAATGTGTATCAGGTTGACAGAACATGTGTGGGGTGTTTAGTTAATTAAAGTTGTACCTTTTGTGTTCAAATTAATTTTATTCCTGCCAAATGCCAATCCTGCTTACTGCATTCTCTTCGAATAGTAAATTCTCTGCTGCTGCTATTAAAATAAGAAGAAGAAAGGGAAACTAGAATTTATTCTTTTTCCTTTTTGGGTTAAATATGGACCACTTCTATTGAATATATGCTATCTATTTGATTAAATATGGATTGCCTTTCAAAATTTCATTTCCACAGCTGTAGAAATAAAAAGAAAATTACGGGATTCGAAATGAAATAATTGACCAAGCCTAAGATAAATCGAACAAACGTCGGATTTCGAACCTGAGAAATGGTCTAGACTGGGGATAAACTAGAGTGTCAGGTCAAGGAAGTTTGAGGCATAACAGTCTGTGATGCCTTAGATGTTCTGGGCGGACCGTGTCAGGACTTGTCTGCGCCTGCTCCAATCGATTCACGGTGGATGAGTGAATGAGATGCGCTCGTTATTTCTTAAGGTCGTGAAGAGAAAATTCATTCATTATGTTTTATTATGAATCATTATTTGTTGTATGATCCTTCTTATAAATTAAAAAAAACCATTAAAAATGAAGTTGACTGTTAAAACAGTAATAAACAACCCACTCCCAGTTGCATTGTATTCTAATTTCACACGCTTTTTATCTAGCATAAAACATAGCATAACTATTTTAACTTAATTTGGGCTATGTATAATTAGGGAAAAAGTTCTCAAGCAAAGTTGTGTCCAAATTAATATTTCCACAATAAGTTCTATATATAACGAGTTTGATTAATTTCTAAAATTACACAGATTATTTTGTAGGGAGAAAAACGATGAAAATGGGGTAATTATTGTTTGTTGCTAAATGGGACAAACTAGTGCCTTCATGGGGTGAGAAGCGAGAAACACGTGACTTTGACTAGCGACGTGTGTACATCTATGCACTGGGCTTTGGGCCCCTAGTCAACGTGGAAGTTGATCTAAGACCATTAAAAGTCAAGCATAAAATAGAAGTATGACAAATCAACGGTTCCGAGTACCATATCAATCATAGCCTCGGGACACGGATACTACGACGTCGTCCGGCATAAGTGCAGTTCAGCCCGGCCCTTCTGGCCGATATGGGCATGCGCTAGCGCCTCACGCTCTCTCCGATTGGTTCGGCCAGGCAGAGCAGAAAAGTCTCCAACTTTAGCGTCGTGGGAGACCGAGCAGAGAAAGGAGACCGTCTAAGGGGCCTCGCATAGTCTGGCTTTCCGGTAAGTATCTTCGTTTTGCTCCTTTGTGCGCCAGTTGATTAGGGTTAGTTTTCTGTTTTGTAATGATTATACTTATGTTCGAAGTTTTTGGAACGTCGGAGGGAAATTTTCGTTTTGGGGTTTTATCAGGAGTTTTTTTCTTCTGTCTTTTTGGTGTCGTGCTGTTTTATTAAAGGGAATTGATTTTTGAATACGGAATTGTGTCATCAATCCTGATATGTTTTATGTGAGTTTTACATCGTAAAGGTTTATTTCTTTTCTATGCTTTGATACGGTGTAAAGATTGGGGATTCAGAGCAGTGAATGTAGGTCCTTTTTGTTTTCCTATAGGCATTTGCCGTTAGAGTTGTAAAATGTTGAATGTACACTTCTTCAGGTTTTGTCGCCTATGAAATTAAGCATTGAGAAATAAGTTTGTCTTACTAGCGGCGTTCTTTTTTTGTAACTAGGCCATGGCTACAAAAAAGGTTATAGCTATATGTCAATCAGGAGGTGAGTTTGTGACGAATAAGGATGGATCGTTGTCATACAATGGGGGTGACGCCTACGCAATAGACGTCGATTCACAGACGCCGCTGAATCATTTCAAGTCTGAAGTAGCAGAAACGTTCAATTTCAATGTAGATACAATGATCATCAAGTACTTCCTTCCCGGCAACAAGAAAACTCTAATTACTGTGTCAAAAGACAAGGATTTGCAGCGCATGATCAATTTCCTGGGTGATTCTGCCACAGTTGATGTGTTCATCATATCAGAGGAAGCAGCAGCTCGAAATACATCTAATATGCCTGGTAGTAGGTAGTTATTCGCAATTCTTGGTTGTCCGTGTCTCCTTTTGTTTCCACCTGGCATAAGTAATTCTGTAGATCTATTTAGTCCATAGTTGCAGAAATCACATTTAGGTTTATGAGGTCAGAGATTTGTGCTTGTAAGTTGTAATTTGTTGGAAGACATTTTCTTGCTTTTACTAGATGAACAGCCATAGGTATTCTGGAGTCATATCTGTTCCACTTGTAAAAAAATGTCTTATAGAATACTCGTCAGTGCAGGTCAAGCAGGACTACGGTGTCAGAAGCTGTTCCTGTTGCTGCCCCTGTGGATGTTCCAGTTGATACTGTCCATGACATTGAACAAATTGAGGTGGATGTGAATGATCGAGGTCCTTTATCCTGTATACCATCCTGCGCCATGGATGACAAGCATCAAAAAGCTGCTCAGCAGTGGGAAAATACCATCACTGGTGTGGATCAAAGGTTTAATAGTTTTAGTGAATTCCGAGAAGCATTGCATAAATACTCTATCGCCCATGGGTTTGCTTACAGATATAAAAAAATGACAGTCATCGTGTCACTGTGAAGTGCAAATCTCAAGGTTGCCCTTGGAGGATCTATGCATCAAGGCTGACCACCACCCAATTGATTTGCATTAAGAAAATGAACACAAAACATACTTGTGAGGGGGCTGCTCTAAAAGCTGGGTATCGGGCAACTAGGGGTTGGGTGGGAAGTATCATAAAAGAGAAATTAAAAATCTCTCCTAACTATAAGCCAAAGGATATTGCAGATGATATAAAGCGTGAGTATGGGATTCAGTTAAATTATTCTCAAGCATGGCGTGCAAAAGAGATTGCCAGAGAGCAGCTACAAGGCTCCTATAAAGAGGCATATACTCAACTCCCATTTTTCTGTGAGAAGATAAAAGAGACTAATCCTGGGAGTTTTGCAACATTTACAACTAAGAGGACTCAAGCTTTCATCGTTTGTTCATATCATTTCATGCCTCAATATCTGGTTTCCAGCAAGGTTGTCGTCCTCTCCTTTTTCTTGATAGTACTCCTTTAAACTCAAAGTACCAAGGGGATTTATTGTCTGCAACAGCAGCAGATGGGAATGATGGCATCTTTCCTGTAGCATTTGCTGTTGTAGATGCTGAGACTGAGGACAACTGGCGTTGGTTTCTGCAGGAGCTAAAATCAGCACTATCAACATCAGAGCAAATAACATTTGTTGCAGACTATGAGAAAGGCTTAAAAAGATCTCTGGCTGAGATATTTGAAAAATGTTACCACAGTTATTGTTTACGTCATCTGTCCGAAAAACTGAACAAGGACTTGAAAGGTCAGTTCTCTCATGAGGCAAGACGCTTCATGGTTAATGATCTTTATGCTGCTGCTTATGCACCCAAAATGGAGGCTTTTGACCACAGTATTGAGAACATTAAAGGTATTTCTCCCGAAGCCTATGACTGGGTGATGCAGAGTGAGCCTGAGAACTGGGCAAATGCATTTTTTGCTGGAGCTAGGTATAATCATCTAATATCTAATTTTGGACATCAATTCTACAGTTGGGTGTCAGAGCGCATGAATTGCCAATTACTCAAATGATTGATGTATTACGAGGAAAGATGATGGAAGCAATTTATACACAACGTGTGGAGTCCAATCAATGGATGACAAAATTGACCCCATCCAAAGAGGAAATGCTTCAAAGTGAATCGTTAGTTGCACGATCATTTCAGGTGTTGCTCTTACAAGGTAGTACATTCGAGGTCCGTGGAGAATCTGTTGAGATTGTTGATGTTGACCATTGGGATTGTAGCTGCAAGAGATGGCAAATTTATGGGTTGCCTTGCTGTCATGCCATCGCTGTCATTGAATGCATTGGTAGAAGCCCATACGATTATTGTTCCAGATACTTTTCTGTTGAGAATTACCGGTTAACATATGCAGAATCTATTCATCCTGTGCCCAGTGTAGACAGACCAGTCTTTGATTCAGGCACAATAGTAGCTGTAACCCCTCCACCGACAAAGCGACCTCCAGGTCGGCCAAAGATGAAGCAGGCAGAATCAGTAGACATAATTAAACGTCAGCTGCAGTGCAGTAATTGCAAGGGACTTGGTCACAATAAGAAAACGTGCAAGTTATTGTTAGAAGCATGACAACATTGTATGTGGTAGTTCACTCTCTCTGTGTACCTGCTCCTTTCCATGTGTGTCTTTGAAATAATCTATTATTTTTATGGATGTGTGCTAGTTGCCAAGCTAGACTTTGAGTTACTGCGATGCATTCATATGGCTTGTCAAGCTAACTGATATGGGCAAGTGAATTGACCTAAATCATGCGGATTCCTGTTGGCATCTTTATAACTTGTTTGTTAATTAGGTTTCGGCTGTTCACTTTGTCTTAAGCTGCTATATCAGCCTGGAAGCTTTGTTTTTGTGGTCCTACCTTTTATTTGAGTAACAAGACAATGATGAAAGATTTAGTTACAAATAAAAGGGGAGTGGGATCTAGTCATGTCCTTTTGTTGTTATTGTTAACACTATTAAGCACCTTTAGTGAATGTAAATATTAGTATATCTTAATTACATGAGTAATTTTGCTGGTAAGAAAGATATGATTGGTTGTTGTCAGAGAGGAACTCACTGGATGCCATAATCAGACTCGATTCCTTGCTACCAGTTTTTTTTTTTTTGGGGGGGGGGGGAATGGTTCATGCACCCGCTGACTTCCTTCGCAAAATAATATAAATAATAAAATGAAGCATGTATGGCAGAAGTGGAGTATTAAGAACATTTTGCAAGCTTTATTAATGTGTCATGTCATTTTGGCCTAAGTCAGGACATTAAAATGGCTCAATCTGAAATAACTAGATGGAGAGAAGCTCGGAGATATCCTTAATTTGGCACTTTGGCTATTTCTGTATTCTGTTTCTTTCCCCATTGCACCTTTCATATCAAGTTATCTTCCCAATCTGTTAATGATGTTTGCTCTTTTTTGATACACATTTCTGTCCCAATCGTTACTTTTTGCTGTCAATATAAGAGTAGAGTGTAACGTGCGTGCCATGAAGGATAACCATACCCTTTGCATCAAAATGGGGTATATATTTCTATATTAGATGGAGATTAACTCTACATGTGATGCATTCATTACTCTCTGATAGTTTGTGTACATAAAAGGTATTACATGGACATTGCTCTGCATGTGTATAGTTGACTGTTCAACTGGGAATTTCAGATGCTATATAAACTGAAATATTTGTGTGGCAGAGGGAATATTTATTGAAGCATAATGCACTACACGCCATGAGTGATGAAATCAACAATGGAAGAATTGAACACGAAAAGGACATGGTTTAGTTGCTGTCTTGGTTTTACTAGTCTTCAATTCATCTGCTGGCTATGCACAAATTGTCGGATTGAGATTCTAGAAAGGTGTTCTTCATCCTCAGAAGTCGCTGGGCTTTATCTGGCTGAGATTTAATAACTTCCTTTTGATGAAGTATATATATTGTGCATACTACCAAGGAAGAACCTGGCCACGAGTTACAGTGCAGGCATTTCTTGTCTCTAATTTATCTTTGCACTCTCAATTTATTTATTCAATGAAAAGCTCGTTGTCTCTGAAGATATGCTTATGTTTTGGGATTTGAAGTCTTGTCAATCTTCAAATTTGGAGTAGATTTAGCATGTGATGTTCTCATTATCCCATCTTGAAATGCAAAATATGTTACATCGTTGAGCTTTTCGGAATGCTTTTGTGGGTATTTTTTAGATGATGGAGGATTGTTTCTCCAGCCAAAATTAAGACAACTTTTTTCGAACTTTTGTTCGGCCAAAGAATTGTTTTCATCCATGTTATCTGTCTTAATTCTTAATTCGATTCTTATATTTCAAAAACTAGGAACATTTTGATGTGTACCATATAAAATGTGAAACCAGGTTTATTAGTCATTATCTATGAATAGTGCAAATTTTTTATGTTTTATATTATATGCAAACATTAGTATCGATGATTTGTAATTAGACCTTCAAAGTCTTCTTTTTTTTTTTGGAAAAAAAAATGTTAAGCCTTATTCCTAAAGGTTAAGTTTTCCTTAGTGTACACTTAAGCTTTACTGAAGTAGTATGATGCCTTGCCTGCCCGCAACGATGTTGTGGTAAGAAATGTAAGCTCCTGGTCTAGATAATCCTGTGATTATTTGTAAATGTTGTTGAGTTTCCCGTAGGTATTTTAGGAAAATTAATGCAAATGATTATTAAAGTAAGTATTTTTAGAAAAATTAATATATATGATTTCAAGTAATTAAATTAACTAATTTTAATTAGTCTTGGCAAATTAGTTATGCAACACCAGCAATTCATTTGAAGGAGTGAGAAGGGAAAAGTCCCTCTTTATGTAAACCATTCTTGACCCTATGCACCTTTTTCTCCAACCGAATCTAATTTCCTATGCGCTTTAGTGTCTCTAAACTTTTGGATTTAGTTTTAGAATTGAAATTTTATTTTTCTGAAAAATCTCCAAAATAAAAGTGATAGAGAAAGGAGAAAATGAGTTGCAGATAACTGTCTAAAAAATAATAAATTAATTAGCTATCATATTTTGGGATAAAAACTCATGGCTGTTAAATTCAGTCTATCACCAGATTGAATGTAAAGGATTGAAATTAGCCGGTGATGCAACATAGGACAAATGTTGGAGGTTGAAATAACAGAGAAATCGAAGTCCACGGTCCACATCCACAGCCACAGAGTGTGGGTTGTGTTGTCTCCCTCCCCCTGAGATGAGTGAGTGGCAAGCAAGGCACCTCCAAGAACCGCCTCATAGTCCCCATTCATAGTGGGTCCCTATTTATTTATGGCCCCACGTAGTAGTATGTTGTTCCTATGTGTTCCTTTTCAATGTAGGGCTCAGTTTATTTTGTTTTCAATATTTATTATTTTATTATAAAATAAATTTTTTTAAAGAGTTTTTATTAAGGGATAATTCAAATTCACATTATCAACAAGAAACATGTCAAAAAGGACAATATCTATTTATTACAAATAACTAATTTTTTAAATATTCATCAATTAATTAGCTAACTATTATATTAAGAACCAAAAATAGTAATAGTTTCAAATTATATAGAGTCAAAATTTAGGGTTTAGAGCTACAACTGAATTAAAACTACATGGAGTGGATTACACCAAATTAAAGTGTAGAGATTAAATTACAAGTTAAAACTATAGAAATAAAAAAATTAATTTTTTTTTCTTAGGTGAAAAATACAGAAACTCCCGGGATGTTTCCATGAATGAGTATCATTGTTACGTAAAAATAAAAGTGAAGTTCGTGGTTTCTAAATATGGCGGCGGCAGGCGGAACAGATTGGAGTTTTCACACGCAGTGCGGAATTTTGACCTAAACTTGCAATTATTATCGCGCGTAAGGTGTGTATGGCTTGAAAATGAGGAGACAACGTTATAAATAGCAGAGATTAAATGAATTAGTGTCAGCTCAAAAAAAAAAAAGAATTAGTGTGAAAAAAAAATTAATACGGATTTGACAAAGATAAAAATACAAATAAATAAATACAAACAAAGCTGAACAGAGCACGTGACGGTGGGCCACGTGACATTATAAACACCAAAAACATGTGGAGGAAACCTCGTTTATCTGTTTTGTGGGGTTGCTTTTCCTGTTTATGGTCCAAGCCTGCCAAAAAATAAAAGGTGGGCATGGCAAATGTGGGCAGCTTTCGAGAAGCCTTTTGCTTTCACACGTCCATCTTCTGCTTCCACACACTTTTTTCTTCCTATTACCAACCTCCTTGCTCTTTCTCTTTCCTTTCATGTCCGCGTTTTATTGGACTTTGATCTGGTAATAGAGTGGCATGGATATCATCTCCACCTGTTACTGTTTACTTCTTTAATTTTCTCCTTTTTTTTTAAAAAAAAAAAAAGAGTTCACGTGAGGAGAGAATTTCATCTTTGGACCAAAAACAAGCAAAGGGTGGAATGCCACAAAGAGAAGCGGTTTTTGTAATTGGCACATGTTTTGTTAAACCGCCCATAAGAACCATATTTTGACTTTTATCTGGAGAATATCCAACAATAGCTTCCATTGAATGAATAATGGATCCGGATCCTAAAAAGATTTAGTTTATAAGAATTTGATTATTTTTTATAAAATTGCGACTGGAGACATTATTATTGTAAGGATTTTATTGGCAAATTATCTATATGTTGTTTTATTAACGCTCATTGAACTGAGGTCTGCTTTGATTTTAGTTAAATCTTTGAAAGTTTTTTTTTTTACTAAAGTATAGGTATCCTCCTATTAGAGGCAATCCTCTTCGAGGCACTGTCGAGCGCTAAATGTGGACACCTCTCCTAGCAGGTACTCAAACCTTGGTTGGCCACGTTGTGAAGGATTAGCCCATTCCGCTAGACCCAACCCCTGTTGGTAAATCTTTGAAAGTTAAAAGTACCTAAACTTTTATTGTTTGTTCTTATTAAAAATAATAATAATAATAATAAGCACTGGGCCTCTCCTCCTAACAACCATAATAGTGGCTGTGGGTCTTCCTGATTTTGTCATTTTCAAATGCATGTGCTTATTTCACTTTCAAGTTCTGCTAATTCATCCAAATTTAAGCCATGTGAACTTCCAACTAACCTCTTCCAATATATAGGCAATTGTGCACACGCATACTTACAACACTCAACCTTAAGAATTTATATAAAAATGATAATTTTTCTACTGAGGCCTTATATCATCTTCAACTACACAAAGCATGTTTGTTTTTATCAATTATTGAGAAAATTGCTATGAAGTTCTAATTAAGGAACATAATTATTAAAACGTTTCAGTAACAACAGAGCAGCCTACAATGTGACAAGTTTTAAGATAGCAGATGACAACTACTCACTTGTTATTAAAATTTACTAGTAATTAATTTTTTTATTAATACCTCGTTACAATTCTCCCTCATTTATTCAGCCTTCAATGTCATGTAGAAGATGTTTAGATCCACTAGACTCTTGTTAGGTGATATGGCCACCATGTGTGCTGCCATGCAGGACATCACTTGTGCTCATATTATTTTATTTTAATTCCAAACGTGAAACCTTTGTTCATATCCTCAACTTATGATTTTTTTCCAATTGTGTATATTAGTTGCATACGTTAAAAGGAGTTACGTCAATAGCTAGGTGATTTTCAACATGAAAAATTAAATACATATTTTATAAGTAACTAATTTAATTAATTTTTAATATGTGTAATTTAATTATCACAAGAGTTATAGAAGAGAGAGACAAGATCCTGAACTAAAGGGAATGGAGGGCTGATTATTTAGGATTAGGTTGCTTCAGAAAAAAGACAAGCAAACAGAAGGAGATGGTGCTTTTGCGTTGCGTGTCCTCTTCACTTCCATTACTCTTCTATTATTGGCCTCCCCCGCATTTCTTCTTCCTTACTTCCCTCACTTCATTTTCGTAACAATAATATACTTATATTATATCCACTAAAACATTATTTCTCATGTTAAGGACTGGTTTGGGAGGACTTTTGAAATCATGGCATTAGCCCTAACCATGATTTCAAAAAAAAAAAAAAACAGTAATCAAACACCCATTGGCCAATAAGAGTTGGTTTGATTAGTAAAAAAATGGCTCATAATTTAAAACATTGTAAATTTAAATTCCACTGCCAATGCGAATAGCTTATTAGTAGAAAATCTGTAAGTATTTATATAAGTACTGTCTAAGTTTGGAGACATGACTTAATCCTGATGAGTCTCCGGAACCCAACTCACCTAATATTTTTGTTGCATAAGAAGAAAACACCCATTCAAAGGGCAAAAGTGATTTTAACTCCCAAAATACTGATTTGAGCCAAAATCATCGTTTCAAAATTTCCCCCAAACAGATAGATCCTCGAGCATCAGGATTCAAACCAATTAGTCAAGTATTTGTATTGGCCGGGGTTTTGTTACAAGTAATTGTTTTTAGTTTTTAGTTTTTAGTTTTTAGTTTTGCTATCTTTTTGGAAGAAAGTAAAATGTTTAGCCAATCAATATAATTATACATAAACAAAGTTCCACGCGTGCAGTTAAATACTATTATCCTTATGATAAAACACACACACACACACACACACACATCTTGAGATTGGCGTGGGCGGTGCTCAAATTAAAGAAAGATGAAGTGTTGGGTTTGGTTAACGTAAATTGAATAAAAAATTGATCTCAGGGCTTGTCATGGAGCAATTGGGAATTTGGGATATTTTATGTATTTACATGTGCGTCGTTACTCCTCCGTATGTGACCAAATCTAGCTCAACTTGAAAGCGTGCACGTGTTCTCCCGGGACCTTAAGACGTCGTCGCTTCGCTTTCATGCCGTCCCTTCTATTATTTTATTTTTTTAAAAAAAATCATCTACTTAGTCAACGATGTTTTTTTTAATCTGGATTTTAATTATCATAGATTACAAGGACAAGAAATCTTAGTCACGCTAATAATAGTTGTGAGATTTTTTATTATAAATAGATTATAGTATATCAAATATCATTAAATAATAAAAATACTATATACATAATAAATTTATTTTTATAAAAAATTAGGAATATTGAAGATGAGTAAAATAAATTCTCTAATTAGGTCATTGTATATAAAATTCAAACTTAATTATTGTTTAGATGCTGATGATGGTTGGTTCGTATAGAATCAACTCCATATTTCTTAAATAATACTCCTCCGGTCCTAATTATAAGACCCAATTGACTTATTTGAGGAGATTAAGGAAGTAAGTTAAGTTGGTTATTTATAATAAATAAGTGTTGTCATTCCTAAAATATCCTTGCTAATTAAGTATATTGGCTAAAACTATCATTATTAGAAGGATTATCTTGAAAAAAATGCATAAATATAAGAGACAAAATGGATTGGGTCTTATAATTAGGACCAAATAAAAA